GGCTAATCAGAAACTCAAAATAATGCAATCCTTCCTGTATCACCTGTCTGTGACCTGCAAGCTCCCTCCCCACTTTGAGTCTTCCTGCCTTTGCTTCAAGTTGTCCCGCCTTTCCAGAATGAACCAATGTACTTCTTATATATATATTGATTGATGTCTCAAGTCTCCCTAAAATGTATATAACCAAGCTGTGCCCCCACCACCTTGGGCATATGTCATCAGGACTTCCTGAGGCTGTGTCATGGGCTCGTGTCCTCAACCCTGGCAAAATAAACTTTCTAAATTAACGGAGACCTGTCTCGGATTTTCAGGGTTCACATGTCACAGGCTCCTAGTTTTCCTCCTTTCTAGCTCTAATTCTCATTGTCGGAAACAGTGAGACTAGTCATTAAATATACATGTAGCAATGATCATCAACAGGCCTTCCATCCTCTGCCAGACAGTCCAGTCTCAGAGTTCCCCCAGGTTTAACAAGAGATTCCTTCTCACTCTACACTTTTTCTCTAGACAGTCTCATCAATGTTAAAGTTTCAATTATAATCTATATGCTGTGGACCCACATATTTTTATCTTCTCTGAATCACTGATTCACGTATTCAACTGTCTTTTTGACATCTGAATTTGATTGGGGCGTTCACACTCTCCTATGTCCAGTCTGAATGTGTCATCTTCCCCCACCTCACTTGCTCTGCGTATCTACCTACCCACATGCTCAGGGTAAAAACTTGAAAGCTTTTAATTTCTCCTTACCTTCACCCTTTCTTTGTATGCAGTCCACCTCCAAGTACTGTCAAGTCAGTCTCTTAAATGCCTATTTAAATCTTACTCTGCCCCGCATCCCTGTAGACTGAAGTACAATCATCTCTCTCCTGAACTATTGCTATAGCTTCCTAATTGTCTTGATTTATATCAGCTCTGCCCCTTCCAGTCTACTCATCACACTACATCTAGAGTGATGGTTTGATGCAAAACTGATTGCATTGCTCCCCTGCTTAAAATTTTCCAATGTCCTCCATTACTCCAAAGTCATAGATCAAAATTCTGCAGTTGGAAATTTTTTGACACCTGCCCATGTCACCAGACTATCTAGTACTATTTACTTTGTCTCCCTGTGTTGTAGGCACTTCATCTTCTTTCTGTCCTACAAAAGCATCGTGCTCTTTCCTGCCCAGTGCCTTCACTCAGGCTGTTCCTTCTGCCCAGAGTCCTCTTTCTTCCCCTTTCCTTACCCCCACCCCACCCCCATTTAACCTTTTGTTTACAGCTTCCTAGAGAAAAAAATATTATTAATTAAATATACATATAGCAATTGGAAATCCATATTGATCTTAAAAATCTTTAATTTGAAAAGACGTGAATCTTATAATTAGGTAAATATACTTGTAAATAGTTGAAAGTTAGTTGCTTGCACATGGTTTTATAACTTTCTATTTTACTCTGTTTTCCTTCTTATAGTAATTATAATCATAAAATTTATTTGAATTTTTTTTAAATTTTTTGATATGGAGTCTTGCTCTGTTGCCCAGGCTGGAGTCCAGAGGTATGATCTCAGCTCACTGCAACCCCCACCTCCTAGGCTCAAGCAAGTCTCCTTGCTCATCATCCAGAGTAGCTTGGACTACAGGCGTGTGCCCCCACACACAGCTAATTTTTGTATTTTTAGTAGAGATGGGGTTTCACCATGTTGACTAGTCTAGTCTTGAACTCCTGACCTTAAGTGATCTGCCTGCCTCAACACCCCAAAGTGCTGAAATTACAGACATGAGACAGTGTGCCCAACCCAGAATTCAAAATTTTAATATGTGTCTCTCATCTGTTAGAATGTGAGTTCTGGTAGATAGTATTTACCACTAAATCTCTAGTACATGACATAGTATCTAGCACAAAGTTGGTGTTAAGATTAACCAACATGTTCAAATCAGAATTGCTCCATTTCCCATTAGGTAATGTTCAAACCAGACTTGTGTGCCCACCCTGTGCTAGCTTCCATTGCTATTATAACACATGACCGCAAATGTCATGGCTTAAAAGAAGGCACGTTTATCCTCTCACAGTTCTGGAGATCAGAGGTTCAAAATCAGTTTCACTAGAGTAAAGCCAAGATGTCAGAAGAGGTGGTCCCTTCTTGAGGCTTTAGGAGACAATCCATCTTTTTGCTTAGTTTAGCTTCTAGTGGCTGCAAAGTTCCTTTGGCTGTATAAAGTAACATCCAAGGGCTTGGGAAATGGGATGTGGACATATTTGTGTGTGTGTGGGGAGGCATTATTCAGCCTACAACCCACCCCTTTGTCGAAAAACAAAAATGTGGAAGACTTAGATCCAAACTGGGAAATGGAGCATGGATCAAGAGACATCACCTAAGAGTCGAGACCATGTTTTAGACCTGGTATGGCTCCTTCCTAGTGGTGAGATCCTTGGTAAACTCCTTCATTTCTTCAAGCCTCCTCTGCAAAATGCTGGACCAAAGCAGGTGATTTCTTCCCTTCTCATGGGCTCCCAGTGGTTACATGCTACAGTATGATTTTATGCTATCCTCATGGCTTCCCATGGCCCACATGGCTTCAGGAACACAAAAGAAGCCCAGGAAAAGGTTTCAGGATCCCATACTCTTCCACTGTGAATGAGAGACAATTTCTTGCTGCTGATTTTCCTCCAGGCCCCCATCACAGTCTGGTTTCAATTTTGGTAAGAAGAGGGACAGAGAAACAGACCACATATGTAACATAACAAGCTCTGCACCCTTCCTCCTTTATGGTTTCTTTAAATACCAACATAGAAAACCCCCTCCCAAAACACCTAAAACTGGAATATCCCATAAAAGTATAACGATTTATTACCTACCCACTCCTTAAAAAATATAAAAGGGAAATAGTAAAAGAGCTAAAATTATTGTCCACTCATCTGGCATGAATCATTACATTCTAGACAACTTAGTCATCACAAAACTAAACAAAAAAATATGGTCTTAGACACTTGTAGATTGCACACTCATCTAGATTAAGAATCCCAGAGAGGATCAAAATAGAGGATTTATGTCTTTCAGCCTGTCTCAGTGCCTGGCAAGAGTAAGTGGCCAATGAATGTGAGATGAATTGAATCAGGCCCCTATAATTTTTTCACAAAGTATGAATGTGTACATGTGATTTGGAGCAGATCAAGTAGATATATTCCTGGATGTGTCTAGAAGCACTGAGAAGCTGTGTATGTGTGGGATGGAGGTCATTGGTGTGAACATACCAAAAACTTAACAGCAGAGAGCTTTCAGGGTATGCCCCAGCTTTTCTTGTGTTTCAGTAGCCCCTTGAAATATTAGAAAAGAGAAACAGAGACAGAGATGAAGAGAGAGATAAATTTTATGGAGAAATAACTAGTTAAAAATAAAGTCAAAACTGAGTGTGAAAGTGAGACTTAAAATCAGGGTAATAGTCACCCAAAGAAATAACTTGTGCTTCGGGAGGAATCCTCAGGGATTCCTCAGGGTCATCTCCAGATAAGAGGAGATGATTTTCGTTTGGTTAGGTTTTTACTAAAGCCCTGACTCCCTCTAGTGGGCGGACAGAGCAGTGCAGCATCCGTAGCAAGGTGTGTGCTCTTTTCAGGGCTAAACGTCCTTTGGAATCAAGATTCTTTTTTTCTCTTTCTTTCTTTCTTTCTTTCTTTCTTTCTTTCTTTCTTTCTTTCTTTCTTTCTTTCTTTCTTTCTTTCTTTCTTTCTTTCTTTCTTTCTTTCTTTCTTTCTTTCTTTCTTTCTTTCTTTCTTTCTTTCCTTCCTTCCTTCCTTCTTTCTTTCTTTCCTTCTTTCTTTCTTTCCTTCTTTCCTTCTTTCTTTCTTTCCTTCTTTCCTTCCTTCCTTCCTTCCTTCCTTCCTTCCTTCCTTCCTTCCTTCCTTCCTTCCTTCCTTCCTTCCTTCCTTCCTTTCTTTCCTTTTATTTCTTTCTTTTCTTTTCTTTTCTTTCTTTTTCTGTTTCTTATCTCCTCAGCTTGAAGGTTGCATCCTCTTTATCTCCTTAAGTAAAGCTGGGAGTTCTGTAGGACTCCAGGAGTGAGGACAATTATGCTTAAGACACTTTGGTTTCAGTTTAGTCCCAGACCAAGGGAAAACATTTCAAAATTTTAAAGTAAATCCTTAAAAGTGTAATTTACACCAGAGCGATTGACCTGGCATTTATGTAGACTGTAGTTTGAGAAATAATTCAAATGGTTTCCACTCATTCCCTCGGAAGAGTCCTTAGAATGTACTTCCATTAGTCTGAAAAATGTCTGAAAAAGAATCCTGATGCTAACAGTACTGGAAATAAGAGGGCTGGTGGTTCACGATCAGCCCGGTGGTATCCTCCACTCTATTTGCATCTAGGTAGAGAGACTGTGGGCAGTATGTGATCAGACAATTTGCTGAAGCGCTTTGGGCCTAGGGCATTTAATTTCTGTGAAGTAGGCTCATCAGTTATTCGCTCTGTTTTTGTGTCACCTCTCAGAATACATTAACGTAGGGGCAACCCTTGAACCCAGACTTCTGCCATGTGAAGACCCTTTGAAAATCCTGACAAACACAGACACTGCATAAGTGGTCAGCTAATTAAAGCTGGGAGGTGGAGCTGTCCTTTGTGTATCCAATAAGTACCCATCATCTCATTTGAGCATGAAAAGAGGCCACTGTTATTACTTTAAAGAAGGAAAGTAAGCAGGATAGCTCATATTTTTGGAACCATTTCTCACCAAATGGAATAATTCCAGTGATAAAGTGGGAGTGAGGAAGAAAGAAAAAAAAAACTTCTAATCATAATGTTTGGGAATAAGAAAGAGGAAACTCACGTCAAAATCGACTTTCTCCTGCGGGTGCAAAATAAAGGCTTAAGACTGCTCCTGCTGAAACTTTGGGGAGGAAAACGGGAGCTGGCGGGTGGGCTTTGCCTGCCACTCAGCTCTCCCTCGCGGCGCGGGCGCGGCTGGGTTCAGCACCTCGGAAAGCGCCGCTCGCGGCGCCCCCGGATTACGCATGCTCCTTGGGGCCCGCCGCCTCGGCCATGCAAGTGCCACTGCAACTGGTGAGCACCGCTGGCAACCCACCCGGAGTTGACAACCGCAGAAAGACGCAGACACCCACTGACCTCCAGGCAACAGAGCGAGGTGGATGGAACTCTACGATCTCTTTCTCTCCAAGGACGGAAACCTCATCCAAGCAGTCCCAGAGGAAACCGACAAAGGTATTTGAAAGGGAGCAAGCGGCCCCAAATCGCAAAATTGAGCGACTGTGGGAGTTATGCGCCAATGCCCCAGTGACAGCGGGACACGGAGAGGGGAAGTCTGCGTTGTACATAAGGACCTAGGGACTCCGAGCTTGGCCTGAGAACCCTTGGACGCCGAGTGCTTCCCTTATGGGCTGCGCTCCTCAACTCTGCTCCAAAGCAGCCGCTGAGCTCAACTCCTGCGTCCAGGGCGGTTCGCTGCGCGGCAGGACGCGCTTAGTACCCAGTTCCTGGGCTCTCTCTTCAGCAGCTACTTTGAAAGCTCCCACGCACGTCCCGCAGGCTAGCCTGGGAACAACACCGGGGTAAACCGTCCCCAGAACGTGACCTAGAGGTACCTGCGCATGCAGATGGCCGATGCAGCCGCGATAGCTACCATGAATAAGACAGCAGGCGGGGACAAGCTAGCAGAACTCTTCAGTCTGGTCCCGGACCTTCTGGAGGCTGCCAACACGAGTGGTAACGCGTCGCTGCAGCTTCCGGATTTGTGGTGGGAGCTGGGGCTGGAGTTGCCGGACGGCGCGCCGCCAGGACATCCTCCGGGCAGCGGCGGGGCAGAGAGCGTGGACACCGAGTCCCGGGTGCGGATTCTTATCAGCGTAGTGTACTGGGTGGTGTGCGCCCTGGGGTTGGCGGGCAACCTGCTGGTGCTCTACCTGATGAAGAACATGCAGGGCTGGCGCAAGTCCTCTATCAACCTTTTCATCACCAACCTGGCACTGACGGACTTTCAGTTTGTGCTCACCCTGCCCTTCTGGGCGGTGGAGAACGCTCTTGACTTCAAATGGCCCTTCGGCAAGGCCATGTGTAAGATCGTGTCCATGGTAACGTCCATGAACATGTACGCCAGCGTCTTCTTCCTCACTGCCATGAGTGTGACACGCTACCACTCGGTGGCCTCGGCTCTGAAGAGCCACCGGACGCGAGGACACGGCCAGGGCGACTGCTGCGGCCGGAGCCTGGGGGACAGCTGCTGCTTCTCGGCCAAGGCGCTGTGTGTGTGCATCTGGGCTTTGGCCACGCTGTCCTCGCTGCCCAATGCCATTTTCTCCACCACGGTCAAGGTGATGGGCGAGGAGCTGTGCCTGGTGCGCTTCCCGGACAAGTTGCTGGGCCGCGACAGGCAGTTCTGGCTGGGCCTCTACCACTTGCAGAAGGTGCTGTTGGGCTTCGTGCTGCCGCTGGGCATCATTAGCTTGTGCTACCTGCTGCTGGTGCGCTTCATCTCCGACCGCCGCGTAGCAGGGCCGGAAGGAGGGGACGCGGTAGCCAGAGGAGGCCCGGTCGGAGCCAGCGCCCGGAGACTGTCGAAGGTGACCAAATCAGTGACCATCGTTGTCCTGTCCTTCTTCTTGTGTTGGCTGCCCAACCAGGCGCTCACCACCTGGAGCATCCTCATCAAGTTCAATGCAGTGCCCTTCAGCCAGGAGTATTTCCTGTGCCAGGTATACGCGTTCCCTGTGAGCGTGTGCCTGGCACACTCCAACAGCTGCCTCAACCCCATCCTCTACTGCCTCGTGCGCCGCGAGTTCCGCAAGGCGCTCAAGAGCCTGCTGTGGCGCATCGCGTCTCCTTCGCTTACCAGCATGCGCCCCTTCACCGCCACTACCAAGCCGGAGCCCGAGGATCAGGGGCTGCAGGCCCTGGCGCCGCTCCGAGCGGCCACGGAGCCGGACCTGCTCTACTACCCACCTGGCGTCGTGGTCTACAGCGGGGGGCGCTACGACCTGCTGCCCAGCAGCTCTGCCTACTGATGCGGGCCTCAGGCCCAGGGCACGCCGTCGCGGCAAGGTGGCCTTCCCTGGGCGGTGAAGGAGGGGAACGGATTAAGGAGGGTTTGGGGCAGAGTCGGGCGCGGGGGAAGCATTTAAGAAGTAGGTGAGAGGAGGATGGACAGAGCATGGAGGAGGAGCCTGTGGATAGGCTGGAGGACCTTCTCTGGAGAGGGGATGCTTCGAAATCAGGTGGAGAGAGGAAGCTGGCAAAGGGGCAGAGATGAGCTCTACGGGCCAGACCGCCAACCTCCGCTCCGCACCCCACAGCCTTTCCTTACTCTTCCCACGCTGGGCAGTGTGAAGGCGCCCAGAAGCGGAGAGAAGCAGCAAAAATGTAGATAAATTGGCACACCGAGCAGGGCTTAGCCAAATGATGCGCAGACAATTGTGCCCGTTTATTCCTGCGACTTCTGCGGAGAGTGCAGCCGCCGCCACAAAGTCTCCTTTGCGCCTTGGCTAACGAGACTGCAGCAACACCAAGGTCCTACTTGCTGCGGGGCTGCCCCAGGAATCTAGAGCTAGGAGGCAAGAAACGTTTTTGGAGTTAAGAAAGAGAACTGACCATCCTGATGCGTCCCCAGGAGAAACGGCAAAGGAAAGCCACCTCCCATGGAGTCATTATGACGATTATCATTCCGGACTGGGCCAGCGGGAACACACTGAGCCCGACCTAGCTGCACAGCCCCGGAGCTCAGACGTTAGCAGGGGGATAACACCTGTCACCAGCTTGGGAGAGCGATTCTCTGGGGAGTGGCGTCACTGAGGGAGGGAGCGGACGCAGTGTAATTAGAAGGGCTGGTTAAGGTTGCTGCCCCAAAAGGTAAAAGGGGGCTCATATGCTCACTTGGTAGCAGAATTGGAAGTGGAGTGCTGGAGCGTTGCGAGGAGGAAGCCCAGGCGCTCCAGTTCCTCTGAGAGCAGGCTGGGTGCCTGCAGGCACTCTGGTATGCGTGCTGCCGGTGAGCTGGGCCCAGAGGCGTCTTGAAGAGCTCTACTGGGAAGAGTGGGGGCACTTCTGTATTTCCTCCCTTCCCACGCTTTGGGAATCAAGCTGTTCCTTTGATTGAGGCCCTGGACCAGCGAGTAGAGGGATGGTTCAGTATTTTTTTTTTTTCTAGTAGGCTTAGATAGAAGAGCAAGAAATGCCGCAGAAATGTGCAAGGGGAATTGGGGCGGGGGGCAGGGGAAGCGGAATCTTGGAAACCAAATTCCTAGAAGCTGGGTCGGATCTCTCAAACGGAGGTGTGGGGTAGGAAAGAAAATAGTAGGTTCAGGTACTATGTTCTAAAGGGAACAGAGTACTGGAGAAACTGTTCTGAGGGTATCACCAGAATTTCAGATGTAGGTTTCTTTATTACTTATATTATTGACAAGAGAAGGTAGGAAATAGGAATTCCCATCGGACAAAACCATCACCAATTTTCATTTATTCTAAAGAGTGCTTTACATATTGAGCATGCATGACAAATTCTTTTCCCAGCCTCCAGACAGTTTATGGAGCTGTCTTTAAAGATTGCCTCACATGTCTCATGTCTACTCTGTTCTGATCACAGGAGCTTAAGATGTTAAACCCTCACAAAGTCCTTTCTTGAGGCTCTTCTTAGAACTGGGATCAAACATCAGTCTACCCACCCATCTGCTGGCTTTGATAGAGGTACTGCTACTCTCTTTGGCAACCTGGTTTGGGGTCAAGAAACCAATGATGCAGGCACCCACTGGGGTGGTTGTTTTAATATAATAAATAGCCATTCATAAAAACAGGTCTGTTTAAAGAGCCTCTTGAACAGTAGAATTGTTTAGTAGTGTTGTGAAAAGTTTTTCTGCAGTATCTGAGATTCAGGGCTCAAAATGTGAGATCTACAACTCCCACTTTCCCTGATCTGCTTTTTGTGATTGCAAAACACACTGAAATGACTAGACATTCATGGCTTCTCACAAAAGCAGAAGGTGCCAGTCTGGATTCTGAGCAGTCTTGTGAAGTCAGCTCGTTTAGAAAACTGAACGGTGTGTTTGTTTTGAAGTAGTCCATTTTCTTTTTCACCCTTTGGGAAGAACATTTATTGATATAGACATTGAATAGCAATTGGGCTAACAAAGACTGAAATGTAAGTTCCACAAAAGTCCCCCAAATACAAAATACATGAAAAAGTAAACACGGGAAAAAAGTAACATTTGCATAGTAGGAGATCCTTCTATAACACGGATAATAGACTCTTAATGAGAGATTCTTATCAAAGCAAATTGCCATTTCAATTTTAACAATAGAATAATATGTGGGTAGCTCAGAATTCTTAGGAAAGGGTGTTGAAGTATGTGCATCTGCCACTAAGAGCACTAGAAAAACAGAAGAGAAGGAGCTGGAGGAATAGAAAAAAAAATAACCTCTATAAAAAGGGTCACTTTGTCCAAATCTCAAACACGGGGCTTCTGAGAACGTGGCAGGAGGGATCATAGATCTTGACTTTGATCTACCACAAGGACAAAAGGGTCACCAAGGAAATGGTCAGATCAATTGTAATCAACAATTAGTTTTTGAGTGGCTGTTGTGTGCCAGCCCCTGTGCAGGGTGCTGAGGTGATATGCATGAACCAGACATGTTTCTGACTTCCACATGTAAAAGGACAGACAGCCGTGAGCACAAGCAAGATAAGACAGGGAATGATGAGCTGAATGTCAAAGTAAGGCTGAAAAAAAGAAAGACAAAGGAAGGAAAGGTTGATCCTGCTGGGAGATCAGACTTTCTGGTCAAAATAATATTTGAGATAGGTCTAGATATATGGGCATAGTTTAGGCAGAATGGCAGTGGTGGGTTCGGAGGCAGAGAGGATATTCAACGCTAATAAAATGTGACTAAAAGCTTTAATGTTGGAATGTCAGATGCTTGGTTGGAAACATCAGAAGCAGGAAACAAAGTAGTAGGTATTCTCTTCTCTTGCAGGATTTCCCAGGATTTCTGTTGAGAGTATGCGTCCTTGTACTAGTTTTATTTGTCTGGGGAAAGGAAATTTCTTTTGCCAGAAAGAATATGTCATTGGTATACTGAGAACAAATACTTAGATTCCCAAATGTGGTTAAAGGCTTTGAAAATTGGATTATATTTACTCATTCAAACCTCAAGGGAGCTGAGTTCAATGAGTATTTGCATATTTGTGTGTGTGTGTGTGTGTGTGTGTGTGCGCGCGTGCGCGCGTGCATGTATGCCCTGTGGTTGGTTAGAGATGACTACATTTGACTTCTTGGGGGTTCAATAAGATGGCCCTCAGCTATGGATCACCTTTCCAGCTGGCCCATCTATTCATTTCAAATCTTCACACATCAGAACAGTTTTTGGAGAAATGGGCAGGAAATAAACACCGAACCCCGGAGAGGATTCCATTTCTAAACCTTGCAGAGGCCAAGTACAAGTAGGGAAAGTAAGAGAGGTGGCTTGTCGCTGTTTCTTTCCTAATGCTAAGAGCTATGTGCCGTGAGGTTCCCTGAGCATTTACTTATCCTCATCCAACACTATGGGGTTGGGAGCAGGCGTTTTCCTTGATGGCCTAAGTGAGTCATGAACTTATTTCTCCAGGATGGATGATGGCCGGGGGATGGGAGGGTGGAGTAAGAAGAAGTGGTAGTTTTGTATATATTCTATAAAAGGAATGAGATTATTTCATTTGGGAGTGAATGTACTAATACAATACAGGAGGACTTGATTGGGAAGCAAAAAATGAGAAGGGAGCAAGGCTTGGAGGGTGATAAGTAAAAGAGTATGCTCAAGCCAGAGAAGACAGCCTAGTTGGGTCTGGAAGGCACCAGCGATCTGGAGAGAATGGGACAGACACACTGCAGGAGCCTGAATAAGGAAGCCGCATGTCCTGCAGGTGACGAAGTTGAGCAGGGGGCAGGAAGAAGTGGCCACTTTAGCATAAACCCCTGCCCTCCATTGTTCTCCCAACATATACACCAGAAGTGGCCAGATCCACAGGGGTGTTTCAGATACCTTGCTCCACACCACTAGCACTGCCTCAGTCACAGGTATAAGAACCAGGTAGCTGCAGAGAGTGGGTTCTTTAAACACAAAGGAGGCATTGGTAGAATTGCAGCAACAAAGTGGAAGCCCAAGTAGCAGAAGGAGAAAGAGAGTGTGTGTGAAATATCAGGGATGCCACTGCCTTTTGAGACCCTTGGGGAGGCTGGGAAGGAGAAGGAGGCTGCAGCACAGAATGACAACAAATGGCTCTGTGCTCCTAGGCTGGCTGACTTCGGTAGATACTGTCCTTAGACCTGGGCAGCCAGGGCCCCTGGTCTGGGTGTCATCATTAGAGGACCCTGCTCTGCCCCTTCACCTCCCCACATGGCAAGGAACCCACAGGGCCTTCTGGAGTTTGTGCCCCGCCAGTCCTCCCACCTGCTCGATTATGCTTGGGTATCTGAGACCTTGAAATTTCTTGTCCAAATGGCCCTGAGTCTATTTACAAGGAATCCATGGGTTCTTTCTTGAGTCTGTCCTCCAGAGGGAATTCCATGCCACTGAGTCTGTCCACCCTTAGGTGGCTAAGGGTTGCCATTTGCAGGAGCGGTAGAGGGTGGCGGCAGGTGGGAGACTGTGGATGTGCTGATGCTAGCATGCACACAAGGACTCTACACTGCCTAGGTAGAGAGAAGAGTGGGGGAAGCAGTGAAGAGGGATGGGCTGTGGATCATGTGTCTCCATTCTTGCTCTTGCCCTGGACCCTGCAAGGGCAGTAAATGTACTAGTATAATACAGGAGGACCTGACTGGGAAGCAGAAAATGAGAAGGGCTCCTTATCCAGGCTCCTGCAGAGTGTCTGTCCCATTCTCTCCAGATCGCTGGTGCTTTCCAGACACAACTAGGCTGTCTTCTCTGGCTTGAGCATGCTCTTTTACTTATCACCCTCCAAGCCTTGCTCCCTTCTCATTTTCTGCTTTCCAATCAGGTCCTCCTGTATTATATTAGTACATTCACTCCCAAATTTTCCCTGTGAGAAGCTGTGTGAAGGAAGACCCAAAGCCCAGCAAAGAAACAACCAGAGCAGGCCTACTCTTCTCAGGATGGCTACAAATAAGCTGACACTGCAGGGGCCTGGCCATGCTACTGAATCCACTCATTCTCCTAGGCACGGGACGCACAGAAGCAACACACCAAGTCCCAAATTTCCCATTTCTCAAAAACAGCTCATTTCCCTTCTCCAAATTCCCTTCCAGCACCAAAGATTTTGGTCAGTTACAAGTTGAGCTGAGGCAATGACTACTCTACTAGACCCTAGATCAAGTAGGAAGAGGAACCACACAATTCTTCTAACTTATAAAAACATGTGGGCAGATCTGTATTTTGCACTGGTCAGGTACATCCAGGGTTGTGTAGGCAAATACTTAAGACTGGGGAACAGGACAATGAGCTTTTAACACTAGTGACAATCGCTAGCTCCGATCAAGTGCCAGACACCAGGCTAAGTGCTGTCCATACAGGAAGCAGCAGAACCAAAGTGGCAGGGTTCAAAGCCCAGCTCTGTCACTTAATAATTATGTGGTTTCAGATAAGTTATATCTTTCTGCCTCCATTTCTTTATCTAAAAACTGGAGAGCGGTAACAGCACCCACTCCCACAATTGCTGTGTTAACGTTAAAACATTTAGAATAGTGGTAAAGACTCCATAAATGTCATGGTTTGTGTTTTGATGTTTGTTTGTCTGTTTGTTTTGATACCAAAACTCACTTTGTCTCCCAGGGTGGAGTGTAGTGACACAATCACAGCTCACTACAGCCTCGATCACCCAGGCTCAAGCAATTCTCCCGCCTCACCTTCCCCAAAAGTTGGGACTATAGGCATGCACCACCATGCCCAGCTAATTTTTAAAGTATTTTTTGTAGAGAGAGGGTCTCCCTATGTTTTTCAGGCTGGTCTCAAACTCCTGGCCTCAAGGGATCCCCCTGCCTCGATCTCCTAAAGTGCTGGGATTACAGGTATGAGCCACCATGCCTGAACCAATGTTATGTATTATTAATCATCACAACTCTCTGAGATAGCAATTCTTATCCCAAATGTATAGATGAGCAAGTGTGCCTTGGGGAGATTACATAGTTTGCTGCTGAGTGGCAAAGCCAGGATTCAAAACCAGCTGATTCCAAAACATGATTTTTATTAAACCATGCTGCCTCTCAAGGCTGCTGAAAACCTCATCATGGGGAAAGCAGTCGAAGGGGTGTGATTAGAGAAAAACTGCTTAGCTTGGAGAAGAGAAGATCACAGGAGAAACAGGGGGCTGTTTTTTGAAAGACTTTTATGTCAAATCCAGAGGACAAAACAAAGGTGCAGACTAGAGAGAAATATTTTTACTGTGTCAATGAAATGAACTACTTTAAAGCGATGAATCCTCCAGCATGGATGTTGAGTAGACTTGTCAGGGGTATCATAAAGTAATCGGAATTAATTATGAGCAAATTAAATATGAATAAATTAATATCAGAGAATAGATCACTAACAATATTTTGAATATCTGTGAATTTGATGAAATATATGACTCCCCAATATATATGAGCCCTTGGCTAAAAATAAATCAAATCACTTCATAGAACACATCCAAGCATCATATGTGGAATTTGTCTGCTTCTCAGGTCTCAGAAAGACCTGCAATGCCCTCTGAAAAGCAGCTCCTGCCTCTCCCCTACCCCTGCACTGAGATGCAATGAGAAAGGCATGTATAGGCGCTACCACCCACACTTACCCCTTGCCGCCAATGCATGGAGGCATAGTCCAGACAAATGTTGTCTGAAATATGGGGACTGTTGTGCAGAGGATTGGTTTAAAGTGAGAGGTGGGCAGATTCTATGGCTGAAATCACAATACTGGGCGTCCAATAGGCAGACCCTAAGATTCAGAGCTGCAGGAAATGTTAACTTCCTGCCATGTGCTTCTCTGTGTCTGAGGTTAGGGTCATTGTCTCTTTATTGACCTAATTCACGTATCTAACAAAGAGAGCCACAAAGCAACAGCCTATCAGTGCCACCGCAGATGCTGTGATCACCACAATGACGACGCTCCCAGCTGTGTTGACCAGAAAGCCCAGGCCACCTCCGACTAGGATCTGAGCCAGCTGCACCATGCAGGTGAGGGTGGCGCAGTCCATGCCCTTCCCTCTCACGCTGTTGTCTGGATGCCCTCCTGGAGCCTGCTGCCTCTGCAAAGGAAGCAGAGAAACACCATTTGACCTACAAAGAACTGTCATTTAAGGGCACAAGTCAGCAAAACTTTTCTGTGACCAACCAGATAGTAAATACCTTTCGCTTTGTGGATTATACAGCCCTGGTCGTAACTACTCAACTCTACTCTTGTAGTGCAAAAACAGGGGCAATGTGGAGCTGAGTTGCCTTTCCAATATAGATTAATGGACATTATTAGCATTTGATTTCAGGGAATTTTCATGAATTGGTGATGTGGAACTGAACTGAATATTGATGGCTATTAGCATTTGATTTTATGCAATTTTCATGAATTGGTGATGTGGAACTGAACTGAATACTGATGGGTATTAGCATTTGATTTCAAGTAATTTTCACTTGTTACAAGATATCAAGCTTCTTTTGAATGTTTTTTCAATCATTTAAACAATTAAAAGGAATTCTTAGCTCACAGACTGTACAAAAACAAGTGGTGGGCCATAATCAATACAATGTAGTGGATACTTAATAAATATCTTATTCTTTTCCTTTCTTAGTGTTAAAAATTCAAAGATTTTAAGAAGGATGTTGAATTGCTGATGTCCTTAAGAGAAGCAACTTTAAAAGGCATTTCAATCTTTTAAAATATGGTTGCTACTTGATTAATATAATGTTTGGTTAATATTTGATATTTGGTCTGAACTGGTTGATAACTTTGTCATTTGTGGCATATCTCTTATGTGCTGGGCCTGGGTTTTTTTTACTTGTTACTTTATTTCAACCTCAACACCTCCCTAGATGCACATGTTATTATCATTCCCCCCATGGTAACAATTATAATACTAGCTATCATATTTTGAGTCTTTGTCAGGTGCTAGGGGGCACCACACTAAGCGCATCCACTATCTTGTTTGCTTTTCTCTAAGGTAAATAACATTCTTTCCATTTGC